GCAACTTTCTTCATGGCGATGTCTGCCACTGGGATATGCTTCGCGATACTCGTCGGCAACGGCCAGCTCGCGGCGTCGCTCAGCTTCTTCTACAGGCATCCAGACGCTATCCTGCATCTGGTCGTTCTTTCCCTGTGCTCCAGCATGACTCAATTCATGATTACCTTCACTATAAAACACTTCGGCCCCGTCGTCTTTATTCTGATTACCACGACGAGGCAGCTCATCTCCGTGTGCGTGTCCGCTGTTCTTTTCATGCACCATATCACCACTCTGGCGTGGCTCTCCGCGTTGGTGGTGTTCCTGACGGTAATCGGCAGAGCGTTGCGGAAACCCACTACCGCGGGCACCAGGGCAGCGCCAGGGATGCAGCCAGATGCGGTGCCCGAAGTCGTTTACGCAGCTGGCCCTCCAACGAGGCAGCAGTCCCTGGTCGATCTGCTCGCCAATAAGGAGAGCCACTGGAAGCTTCTGGTCTGCGCGCTGGGTATTCACGTGCCTCTCGGCGTCTACTCGGTCGCTCAGGAGTTCATGGCGACGCACACGTTCAATGGGGAGCTGTTCAGATACCCCATGTTCCTCATCGCTGCGAACCGCACCGCGGCCAGCATCTTTGCGCTAAGCGTGCTCAAGATGCAGGGCCTTCCGATCTGGTCTGCGGGAATGCACCTCTCCATCATCCCCGCGGCCTCGAACATCGTGGCCACGTACTGCCAGTACAAGGCGTTGGCCTTCCTGCGCTACCCCGCGCAGGCATTGCTGAAGGCGGCCAAGGTGCTCCCGGTGATGTTGTGCGGGCGCGCCTTGAAGAACCGCACGTACAGCGCCCTGGACTACTGCGAGGGGATCCTCATCACCATCCTGGTCTGCTTCTTCATGTGGAACTTCCACCAGGACTCGAGTAGGGGATCGACTACGGAATCGATTTACCTCAAAATTGATGTGTTCGTCGAATACGTGGAATGTTAGTAGAGCTGCGAACTATTCTGCGCTATGTTTGAATAATCTCGACGTGAACGTCGCCTTTGGAGCAAATATGAATCAATTCTATTGTCGATCCCCTACTCGAACGAAGGACAAGGAGGCCCTCTCCTCCGCCAAGGGGGCCTTGACGACGGGCGTGCTGCTCATGGTCGGGTACCTCCTCACTGACTCGCTCACAAGCAACGCCGAGGACCGCATCTACCAGCACGTGCACCTGGACCCGGGGCACATGCTCCTGGGGATGCAGGCATCCGGACGATCGAAGGGGGTACGGAAGCAGAGGCTACGAAGGCCGACAGCAGCTCCTGCCCACTTTGCCCCGGGCTCGCTGTCGGTGCAGCCGCGGACGCTGTCCGTTCGGGACAGGCGGCCGCCTGCCCATCAGCGGCCGCTTGGCGCATTTGAACACCACTGTTGTCATTGGGCCGTCCCAGAGGCCGCCTCCGGCATCGTCGCCTGGTGCACCCTGCTCGTCAGCGGCCAGCTGGGCCCTGCGGTCCTCTTCCTGGCGGGCCACTCGAAGGCCTTGGCGCTCGTTCTGGAAGCCCTCCCCGGAGCCACCGGACCGATCGCTTCGACTCCAGTCCGGATTTGCTTCGACGCCGCTTCGGACTCCAGGCCGCCTCGAGTTCGGATCGGGTTCGGCTCAAGCTCGGCTCGAGTCGACGGACGTCCGACGCAGCATCGGCACAAGAGGGGAGAGAGTGGCTCCAGGAAGGGGCATGGCACAGAACGAGCCTCTGACGGAGGCGCTGGTCCACGTGTTTGTCCTCGTGCTGGCGGAGGCCTTCGAAGAAGAGCAGCTACAGAAACACAGCCTTTCGGAGCTCCGCGTGGATCTCTTGGATCGGCGCCTGGCCCCTCCCGGCTGCGCCGCCGGCGCCGTCCTCGGCGCGCTCCGCGCGCCACCGTTGGGGAGGTCCAGCGCGGACCCGAGAGATCTGCGCGGACCTCCGAACGTTTGTGTTCGTGCCGTTCCGTGCTCCTCGAGGCCTGTGGCGCCTATGCGTGCACCGTCACCGTGCGCCTCTTCGGGCCCGCGGTCTTCACCCTCCTGCTCATGTCGCACCAGATTCTCAGTCTGCTGATCTCCGTGGCCCTGTTCAACCACAGGGTCAGCCCGTGGGGCCAGACGGCGTAACCAATGCATAGCACGTGCAATACGCAACAGCGTAACAAGCAACAGACAGCACAACACACTTCAGTATATCAGGTCAGCCCGTGGAGCTGCTTCTGCCTCGTCGTGGTGGCCCTGGTGGTCCTCACCTCGTCCATTCGGCGGGTCACCACGACACGCCAGGGCGTCTCCAAGGAGCACAACTTCCGCAGATCGAATGAGAAAGAGCGGCATAAACAGAAACTGTCGGTGGTCCGCGCGGATTTCTGGGTTCCGTGCTGGGCCCCCCTGGCGGCCGCCTTCGGCGCCGCCTCTGACGCGCTCTGCGCGTCGGGGAGGGGATGTCAGCGCGGACTCCAGAAATCCGCGCGGAGCTCCGACAGTTTCTGCTCATACCGCTTGCTTCCTCGCACACCTTGCCATCCCCCATTGCTCTTCTCTCCATCCCCTCCTTCCTCTCCTGCGTGAGGGGAGGTGGATGGGCGAGGGATGGGACTGTGGGCGAACTGGCGTCCCCAAGGAGGTGTAGAAGGAGTAACCCGACCTTGGGACGGATTCGACATGGTGCGGTCAGGCGTCCTGCACCCTGCACGGCCTCCTGATGCGCCGGCTCTCACTTTTCTGTCCTGGAGGCTTGCGCTGTGTCGCCTGCCCCCAGATCACAGGGGGGTTGTGTCGATTTCGCGGGCCGACGTGGTGTCCCAGGGAGGGCAGGCTCGAGGATGAGCAACGCAGCGCGGAACAACGCAGAGCACAGTAGAGCGGAGGAGTATATGAGGGTAGAGCATACCAGTTGCAATCGAGCAGCTTGTTTAGAGTGCGGAGAGCACATTGTCACCTAATTCGCATGCCCACCATGGCCGCAACTGTGCCCCGCAGGCTCCTATGTGGAGTCAGCGCTGGCACATCGTTCGAGCTCGGGGGCCCTCCGCGGAGCCATCGTGGAGCCTCTGCTGCCTCTTAGCTCCATCTTAGAGCCTCCTGGGGCCACCCCATGGCAAACTGTTGCCATTCGGCCTCTTGGGGCCCACCTTGGGCCATCTCGGGCCACTGGTCTCGTCGAGCGCGTTCCACTACTCGCAGAGTGCCTACTCGCAAAATTCCGAAATATACAGGTCTTCCTCTATGTAGTATATCGTAAATCCCCCGCGGCGGATCCAGGCAGTTTGCGAGCAGTGGATTTGCGAGCAGTGGAAAGCGCCTGTCCAAAGCTGGTGCCTCGGGGGACCAGGGGGGCATGCTGCCAGCTTTTGATCAAGCCTGGCAAGGGTGTGTTGGGGAGCTCCTGGCCCCCCCGCCCCTGAAACGGGACTCTGGAACCCTGGGAAGGGGCATGAGCTGGCTTCGCCGGCGCTGGCTTCGCCGGCGCTGGCTTCGCCGGCGCTGTCTTCGCCGGCGCTGGTTTCGCCGCTGGGCGGCGAAACCAGCAGGGCGAAACCGGCCGGGCGAAACCAGCCGTCGGCGAAACCAGCGAGCGCCTGGGAAGGGGGAGCATGGGGGGGCAGGGATTATTCCGATTCATCCGATTCGATTCGGCTTCGGGTTCCGACTTGGACTCCAGTTCCTCGATGGATGCTTGTTGGCGTGCCGATGTCTGCCGATTCGACTTCTCCCGACTTGGCTGCCGATCTCCGCCGAACCGATTCATTTCGATCGCCGATCCGTCTTGTCGATTCGATTCTGGGCTCGGAGGAGGAGGAGGGGGAGGAGGAGGAGGAGGAGGAGGAGGAGGAGGAGGTGGAGGAGGAACAGCCTAGCACCTCTCACGCGCTGCCACCCCTGGGAAGCGAGGGCCAGCTGATTCTGATATCGCCAGACGCGACTCGACAATTTTTGGAGTTCCAGACTCACCATGTTGAGTCTCGATTGTTCGAAGACGAAACAACCACATAAACATAAGCTTTTGGCGCTCCGTGCGGATTTCTTGGATCCGCGCCTGGGCCCCCCTGGCGGCGCCTCTGGCGCCGCCCCTGGCACGCTCCGCGCGCCAGGGAGAGGGGTCAGGCGCAGATCCAAGAAATCCGCGCGGAGCGCCAAAAGTTTATGTTTATAGCGTTTCTTCCTCTTTTTCTAATTGTAGCCGCGCGCTTCCGTGAAAGTGTACCTTCATCGGAGAAGAACGTGTTGCACAAACATCGACTCCTGGAGGTCCGCGCGGATTTCTTGCATCGGCGCTGGACCCCCCGCCTGGCGGCGACCCCGTCGCCGAGTCACGAGTTCCACCGCGGGCCTCCGAAAGGTCCTGCTCATGCTTAAGTCGGGCATGTCCCTCTACAGGAGGAACGCTCAGAAATGGTGTTGAAAACATCGTCCAGGGACGATACGTCGTGCTCTCTTTCTAGCCTGTTTGAGTATATGACTATCGTGTTTCATTTCTCCTCCAAGGATCCGCCTGCAGGAGGACATGCCCGTCCTGAGCTCATGCCGCTCCTCCTCCTCCTCCTCCTCCTCCTCCTCCTCCTCCTCCTCCTCCGCCTCCTCCTGCTCTCCGGGCGGCAGCTCCGTCCGCATAACCCTCTGCGCTCCGCGTGCGCGTCTCGGCCCCCCGGGGGGGGGGGGGACGCCGCGCGCGCTCCGAGAGGTCTGCCCGTGTATACATGCCCGGTGGACTATCTTTCGGCCGCGCCCTTGCCTCCTCCCCCTCCTCCCCCTCCTCCTCCCCTCCTCCTGCTCCTGCTCCTCCTCCTCCTCCTCCTCCTCCTCCTCCTCCTCCTTCTCCTCCTCCTCCTCCTCCTCCTCCGCCTCCTCCTCCGCCATCTCCTCCTCCTCCTCCTCCATCTCCTCCTCGTCTCCTCCTCCATCTCCTCCTCCTCTCCTCCTCCTCGTCCTCCTCTCCTCCTCCTCCTCCTCGTCCTCCTTCCTCGTCCTCCTCCTCCTCCTCCTCCTCCTCCTCCTCCTGCTCCTGCTCCCCCTCCTCCTCCCCCTCCTCTCCCGCCTGCATGGTCGCACACTTCGCTCCAACGGCGCCCCCGTTTACAGCGGGCCTCTTCGCTAGCGCAGACGGCCCCTGCCTCGCCGCCGACGCAAAAGTGAGTGTGTGCTCGGTGGCGGGCGTTTCCTGGCCACACCGCCGGGGCAGCGATACACGATAGCGCTCGGGGCTCAAGAGACGGGGGTCAATGCAAACAGGGGTCAGCCAGGGCACCCGATCCTGCAGGATCCTGCGAAGACCCCTTCTGGCTGACCCGGGTTAGCGAGCCGCTCGTGGCCGCGAGGCGGCCGCCTACATTGGCTGACCCGGGTTTGCGAAAACCTGCGTTGCAGTTTTTGTGTCCTGCCTTGCAGTTTTTTGGTTTCCTGCAGACTCGGGTCTGGATTGACTCGGGTCAGAGGATCCCCGAAGCTCGGCGGCGAACTTCGAACCCTGCCCTCGCCGATCAACGAGTCAGGCAACTCGATGGGCGGCGGGGGTGGGGTTCGGGATTCGTCGAGCACGCGGCGAAATCCAAACTCTACCCCCGCCTCGGACAGATTCAGGAGAATCGACGGTAGGTGTGGGTTGCACTCGGACGTCGCCACTTGGTAGGCATGTGTGTACTCCGTACTTGGTCCGGACGCGCGCCTCCATCGGTGGCGCATGGCATTAGCATGTCTTTCCCCATCCCATCCAGCACTCCCCCCTGCCCCCGCACGGCACTCACCTCGCCCTCCCTGCCCCCCTCCCTCCCGACGCTGCCCCTCCCTGGCCCCCTCTCGTGGCTCCCCTGGCGGTCGTGGTCAGCTCAGCATATCTCGCGTACGAGCTGACCACAAGCGAGCCAGCAGGGCTCCCAGAGTTCACAGGACTCCGTTCGGGCTGAGGCTCCTGAGCCACGGGTGAGGTGTGCCGGGCGTCCACTGAATGTTCTGGCATCTCATTGTGAGTGGCCTCCTGTAGCCTGAGTGCTGCGGTGGAACAGTCTCCAGTGCCCGGTAGCCCTGACTCGAATAGGAGGGGTCCGCTGCCGTATTGTTCACAGGTGGCCAGCGCACCTGATACTGTAGTGAGAGGAAGAGGACTACCGCTCTGCTATCTCTCATGCTACCATTGCCGCCAGGTCTCTTACTTTGCAACAGTGCCACCCGCAATTCTAGTTCCTCCTCCTCCTCCTCCTCGCTCCTACCCTTCGGAGGAGGGAGAGGTGCCCATATCGCTACCCTTCGCTCGTGTTGTTCCTCTAGTAGTCGGCCCCCTGGGAGGGCCTCGTCACCACTGGTGGATTCTCTTCGAAGTCTTGGTCAGCGCGCGCCCCGGGAAAGGTTTGCGGAATAGCGGTGTTGGTACCCTGTGATTTCCCCTAACCCTGTGTGTTCCTTGCCTGGGCGCTTCGCGCTCGCACCATCCACGCCGGCCCTGGTGGCCTGCTGCCTGTCAGGTTTGTGGGGTAAGCTGTGGGCCCCACGTTCGGGGGTTTGCTGCAGGTGCCCATGGCCCAGGGTGTCCCCAGTTTTTCGTTCGATTCTGGAGCCCCCGGGGCCCTCTGGGCCTCGCGGAAGGGGGCTCTGGAGGCCGTGGGGGCCTCCTGGGACGTCTTGGGGGCACCTCGGGCAAGGGACACTGCAAGCAACACCCGACAAGTTTTGGCGGCGAGCTTGGGGGGGAGTGCAAAGGGGCGGGACGGCGGGCCTTTCCAGGAGGCTCGGAAGTCCCCTGGCCTTCTGAAGAGTTGTCGGAGCTTTCCCCGAAGACACAACAGACTGTTCAGAAGGCGCGAGGGAGTCTGAGAAGTTCCGCCGCATTCTGAGAAGGCCTTCTCCTTCTCACTTCCCTCCTCGCTCGCCGCCAACTGTTGGCCCGTGCCCCCGCCCGTCAACTGCACGACTCGGCCGTGCGCGTGCTTGCCCCCCGCCCCTCCCCGAGGGGGGTTCCGCGAGGGGCCCTCCGCGAGTACGGCCCTGTCGCGGAGCGCCCCCGCCGTCCGGCATTAGGGCCAGGCAGCAGCTCGGCGGGGCACGAGGTGGAGAGGCGAGGAGGAGGAGGAGGACGAGGACGAGGACGAGGACGAGGAGGAGGAGGAGGAGGAGGACGAGGACGAGGACGAGGACGAGGACGAGGACGAGGAACCCTGTCGTGATCCCGCCAGGGCGAGGGAGCTGTCGTGCGACTTTTCCCATCGCACGTCACACATCGCTTGAAGCGTTTGTCACTATAACGCACCGGTTGACGGCCGATGGCCACGGCCGATGGACGGCTCGCACGGCAGTATCATGTTCGATGCCAGCGTCGATCGCCCGATCGGCCGCAGCCATGGACCCTGCAGTGGCTCGCCCGATCGACACGGCTGGCCGTCGGCCCTACCAGCCAGCATGGTCACGGCCGACGGACGGCCAGCCAGGTAACACCCTTGCCGCCCAAAGCGAGTGTGGGCCAAGGGCCCAGCCGAGGCCGCAGCCGCTGCCCTCGGGCCCGCGCGCGGGGGGATGTTCTGCAGGCAGGCCGCCGACACCTCCGTGATCGTCACCCGATGCGCCACGGGCCACCTCCGCGCGGGCGCGGCGGAGATGTGCGGCTGGCGCCAGAAGATGGAGGACGCCCATGCTTGGAGGCGGCCAGGGCGTCTGAGCTGGATGAGCCCAGATCGCCAGGAAGGAGATGGGCCCTGAGGGGAAGAGGCCGTTTTTCTTGATCTCCTGGTGCTATAACGGGCGTGAATGGGCGGGGGAGGGGGGGGTGCGGGAGGGGGCCGTGTATGTCGCGGCTCGCGACGGCGCCGTCTGGGAAGGTTGAGGCATGGCGGACATTCCCACACGGCGTTGGCGCGAAGCGTGACGCCACCCAGTGGGGAGAGGGGGGGTAGGATGCAGGGCCGGTCACGGGCGTCATCGCAAATGCGGTGTTTCGTAGTTCTGTCCTCGTTTTGGGGTTTTTGTAGTGTCGTAGTTCTCTTGGTTTGCATAGTTTTGTCGTAGTTGTTGTTTTGCTTTTTCGCAGTTTCGTAGTTTGGGTCCTGAGGTTTTCCGTAGTTTTTGGCTTTCCGGGGCCCTCCACGGGCCCCGCGACCGTCAACAGACATTTATTCGCGATGAGGAGCTGATCCTGGAGGGAGGCTCTGAGGTTAGTCGGGCCTGCCCTTCAGGAGGAATATTCAAAAATTGTCTATATATATTATGGGGACGATATTGGTTACTCTGTTTGAACATGTTGGTGCATGTTTGACTATGTTTCATGTTTCGTCGAACATTCGCCTGTAGGGGGACATGCCCGACCTAACCCTGGGGTCCAGGACCTGTTTCCCAAAGCACCGGCTTTCGTCATGCTGACCAATGAAAACGGTCGCGAGGGGGGTATGATGAGGGCAGGGCAAGGCAAGTGCATTCGAAATCGGTCCCCCAGATCCCCCCCACGGGGTCGAAGCTGACAAGTTGTCCGAGCCGCGCCCGTGGCGACGAGGGGGAGCCCCTGCCGGCCAGAGCTGGGCGCTGGGCCGCACGTCAGCCCCCCCAAGCCGGCTCCGAGCCCGTGCCATGTTCGTGGAGGACGACGCCTGGGGCTTCTTCGGCGTGCTGGACGGGCACTGCGGGGGCGCTGAGTGCTCGTCCTTCGTCGCGCGGCGCCTCTGCGAGGAGCTGCGGGGTGGCGCCCCTGCGGACGACGCCGCCCTGGTCAGCCTCGTGTCGCGGCTCGACCGGGAGTTCCTCGAGTCAAAGCAGATCGGGGGCGCCCAAGAGGGGGGACAGGGCATTCGCAGACATGCTCGCGCCGTGACGCACCCCTGAGATCCGACGGCGCGAAAAAATTGAGCCATCGTGCGAAATCACGACCCGAGCCGTAGACCCCACCTTCCTGCGTCATTCTTCGCTTCGAGCCGGATCCATCTGCGAGGGTCCTGGGGCCCGAAGTTGAGCGAAAACGCCCAGTTAAAAAGAATTGCATCGCCAGGATCTCAGGGATTCTCCACGGGAGGCCCTTCGCCGTTCTCTGCCTCTGGGGGCCCTCGCTGGGGCCCCGGGACCGTCAAGACCACAGCTTCCTCGGGAGGCAGATCGCCTGCCTTGTGGGGCCAGGGTCGGGGCTTCCGGGTGGCCCCTGTGCGGAAGAAGTCAGGGCGTCGCAGGTTTGGGTTCGCGTCGCCGAGGGAGCTTTCGTTTTTGGGAGCGAAGAATGACAGAAACGCAAAAACTCTGAGGTTCGCGCGGATTTCGCGGATCGGCGCTGGGCCCCCCTCCCTGGCGCGCGGAGCGCGCCAGGGGCGGCGCTGGAGGCGCCGCCAGGGGGGCTCCAGCGCGGATCCGAGAAATCCGCGCGGACCTCTGAGTCTTCCGACGAAGACCTCCCAGTAGTTTTCAGTCGGGCCTGTCCCTCTACAGGAGGAATGTTCAAAAATAATCCCAGAATCGTATGTGGACGATGTTTGGACTCTTTGTGGCTACGTGTGAGCATTTGTTGACTACCTTTTATTTCTCGTCCACAATCCGCCTGCAGGGGGGCATGCCCGCCTTGACAGCAGCTGCCTCCTAAAGCAGACGCCGCCCCCCGACACGGCCAGCGGAGGTCCGAGCTAAGAGTGCGGCCCGAAAAGAAGCCGCGCCGGCGCAGAAGAGGGGGGGGGGGTCGCGCGGATGATGGCCCAGGCCAGGGCCACGAGGTCTCCCCGGGTCGGGGCTCGAGAGACGGGGGTCAAAGCAGACGGGGGTCCGCCAGAGCGTCCGATCTTGCAGGGTCCTGCAGGGCCAGGGTCGCATTGACCCGGTTCTGGGTGCAGGATCCTGCAGGATCTTGCCGGGATCTTTCGCACTGACCCGGGCTTGGGTGCAGGATCCGGCAGGATCTTGCCGGGATTCTGCAAGGCCCGTCGGACCCGGGTCTGGATTGACCCGGGTCAGGAGGTCCCCGACGGGGGCCCGCGTGCCCCCCGCGCCTTCCCGCTGTGGGGCAGGGGAAGTCATCGAGGATAGCCGAGCCTTTTGGCCCTCGGAGCGCAGGGAAGGCATGGCCTCCCCGAGGTCTCCCTGTCCCCGCCTCGGTGATCGTGCCCATCGGCCGTTGGAGGTGGGTCTGTCTGGAGTCCCAGGGTCCAACATACCTTCAGCGCCCTCCTGCTTCAATGATCGAGTGGCTTCGTATGTTCCGTGCTCCTTAGGGGTGCGGACGGAGCTCAATCCGTTTTCAACGCCTTCCTGCTTCATGTTTCTACCTGCTTCCGACCGATGGGTAACGGAGCCTCTGGCCCTAAGAGCACATGGAAGACGTGGCCTCACCGAGGTCCCCGTCTCTGCCGCAGGGGTCACAAGTCTGGGCGGTTCGGTCCGACACGTCCGCAGATAAGGCCCCCGACCCTTGTTTCGGGACGGTCGAAATGGGTACGGGAAGAATGGCTACGCTGCCGAACAGCAGTGCTTGTTCATTTTGAACAAAACTCGCTGTCCGCGCCGCCACGGACGTTGGTCACTAAAGACACAAAGCCGCCTGCCCGACAGCGGCCGCTGCCGGTTTTGGACAAGATTTGTTGTTGGGCATTGTTCCCATTTGTTCCGTACCCGTGTCGGGCGTCCAAACTGATGTTTTTGGCCCTCCTACTTCAGGCCCCCTCCCAAAAGGTTTTGGGTCCTTCTCCTGCGAATCAGGAAGGAGGGAAGCCGAACCGCGCCCACGTTCGGAGAGTTCGGCGAGGTCCCCCTTGTTGGCTTGTTTGGATGCACGAGCGGGTGCGATCGCTTCCCCGGGCCCTCGTAACTTTGTCCCCCTGCCAAAGTAGGGGCCCTTCTCTTGCGAATCAGGAATGAGGAAAGCCGAACCGCGCCCACACTCGGAGAGCTCGGCGAAGTATCCCTTGTTGGTTTGTCTTTCGCCACCCAAACCTCCCCGACCCAACCCGAAGGCCTCAATACCCATCGGCCGTTGAAAGCAGGTATTTTTGGAGTTCCAGATTCCATCATACTTTGAGCGCTTTCCTACTTCGATGATCGAGTGGCTTCACTTGTTCCGTCCTCTTTGGGGGGCGGGCGGACACCCAATCTCTTTTCAACGCCTTCTTGCTTCATGTTTCTACCTGCTTCTTCCGACCGATGGGTATGCCCTCCGTTTCCAGTGGGGGGGGGTCGGGGATCAATGGAAAAGCACATCTGGAGCCCGTGCCCCACCCCCCCCAACCCGAAACCCAGGCCTTCGGGTCGGGCTGGGGCGGTCTGGCGGGTAGTCCGTTTGGGGATGCGGAGCCGGTGCGATCCCTTCCCCGGCGGGTGTGGGGTGCCCGGCGGGTGCGGGTCTAGGACTCCTAGATGGGGTCCGAGTAGATGGGGTCGGAGGATCGCGCCGCGTCGCGGATGCATCGGCGGGGTGCGCTCCTCTAGTGGGGTGCACCCCATCTAGGAGGCCTCTAGTGGGGTGCGCTCCTCCCCTCTGTGCGGCCCCTGGCCCCGCCCGCCCGCCCCCCCCCCACGCGCCCGCCTCGCGCCGGGGCTCGTCGATATCCCCCCCCCCCTTGGGATGCAAGAGCTGGGAGGGGACATGCAGAGTCGGCGCTGGCGAATCCGCGGTCGAAACGCGGACCCCCTCGCGCTGTTAAGAGATCGCGGCGGGAGGTGTTTCGCCATTTTCGGCTTCCGGGAGGAGCGTCAAAGAACGACTCAGGATGAAAAACCAGTCCTGGGGAATGGGTCCAGGACCTTTGGGATCGACGTTGGCGGTCTGGCGGTCTGGGAAACCAGCCCAAGCTGGCATGCTGGCAATTGTCCTGAGCGGGCCTCGGATGCCCGATTGGGACAAGTGGGATTAGAAGGCCAAGTCCTGGCCTGATGCCCAGCTCAGTCCTGAGCTCAATCTGACCTGCTCCGGGTTGATGGCCCCCGAATCGGGCTGACCAGCCTTTCATCGTGCGTGCGAAGAGTTCCCAGGAGTGGCCTCCCAACCCGCGCATGCCTCGGGCGATGGTTCGCTGACCTGTCTTGACTTCTTCCATGCGCCGCCCCCTGAAGCCCCGGCCCTCTCCCCAGGCCAGATCCCTCCTCTTGGGTCGTCTTACGACGGCCCTGGGGCCCAGCGAGAAGCCCCTCCCGCCGTGGTTCTTGCCGCCTCCAGACATCCGGCTTTGCGGTGCGTGGGCCCCGGAGGTCTAGACCAGCTCCCCAGCGCCAGTTTTGCGTCCCCTGTCGGGCGTCCCCAGACCCCCGACGTCGTGATTTTTTCACAACGTCGGACCCCTTCCCCAGGACCGGTTTCTCACCCTCAGTCGTTCTTTGCCGCTCCCGAGGCCCGGCGAGGGCCCCCGGAGGCCGAAGACGGCCCAAAGCCGGCCATCCCCATGTTTTCGCTGGAGCGTCGGACCTCTCTGGGCTCGCGGGCATCTGCCCGCGCCCTCTGCCCCCGCCTGCGGCGCCTCCGAGCCGAAGGGCGGCTCCACTGGCACCTTCGCGCTGGTGGAGCGCCCGGGGCCCGAGGCGGGGCTCGCTTCGATGCCTCCGACTCGACTCGACTTCGATGCCGATGGCTTCCGATTCCGATGCGATTCGGCCTCGGACTCGCTTCGATCTCAATGTCGATGACTTCCGCTTCCGATTCGCTTCGATTCCGATTTCGATTCGGCTTCGGACTCCGATCTGGACTCCGACTCCTCCCGGGAGGCCTGCTGGGCTGCCGATTTCCGCCGACTCAATTTCTCCCCATTCGGCTGCCGAGTTCCGCCGATCCGATACATTTCGATCGCCGGTCCGACTGTCGATTCGATCCTGGGCCTCCTCCTCCTCGCTCCTCGCTCCTCGCTCCTCGCTCCTCGCTCCTCGCTCCTCTCCTCCTCGCTCCTCTCCTCCTCCTTCTCCTCCTCCTCCTCCTCCTCCTCCTCCTCGTCCTCCTCCTCTCTCCCTCTCCTCCTCCTCCTCCTCCTCCTCTCCTCCTCCCCCTCCTCCTCCCCTACTCCTTCTCCTCCTCCTCCTCCTCCCCTCCTCCTCCTCTCCTCCTCCCCTCTCGCTCCTCTCCTCCCCCTCCTCCTCCTCCTCCTCCTCCTCCCTCCTCCTCCTCCTCCTCCTCCTCCTCCTCCTCCTCCTCCTCCTCCTCCCCTCCCCCTCCCCTCCTCCTCCTCCTCCTCCTCCTTCTCCTCCTCCTCCTCTCCTCCCCTCCTCCTCCTCCTCCTCCTCCTCCTCCTCCTCCTCCTCCTCCTCCTCCTCCTCCTCCTCCTCCTCCTCCTCCTCCTCCTCCTCCCTCCTCCTCCCCTCCCTCCTCCTCCTCCCCTCCTCCTCCTCCTCCTCCTCCTCCTCCTCCTCCTCCTCCTCCTCCTTCCTCCTCGTCCACCTCCCCTCCTCCTCCCCGCTCCTCCCCCCCCTCTCCCTCCTCCTCCTCCTCCTCTCTCTCCTCCTCCTCCTCCTCCCTCCTCCTCCTCCTCCTCCTCCTCCTCCCCTCCTCCTCCTCCTCCTCCTCCTCCTCTCTCCCTCCTCCTCCTCCTCCTTCTTCCTCGTCCTCCTCCTCCTCCTCCTCCTCCTTCTCTCCCCTCCTCCTCCTCCCCCTGCTCCTCCTCCTCCTCCTCCTCCTCCTCCTTCTCCTCCTCCTCCTCCTCCTCTCTCTCCTCCTCCTCCTCCTCCTCCTCCTCCTCCTCCTCCTCCCCCTCCTCCTCCTCCTCCTCCTCCTCCTCCACAAGTGCACAATATGAATACTACTCTCCTCCAGCCCCTGATGGCGTGCGGAAGATAGCGGGCACCCTTCCGCGTATTGTTGTTTTACACAGGATTTCCCGGAGGTGGGTTTTCGCTTGGGTTTTTTGTTCAAAATGATGTTCTCGCTGAGGCGCGGGCTTCATTTTCGGGCTTCCGCTCGTTCCGAATCGTGCTCCCGCTGCAGCGCTGGCCTCATTTCCGTGCTTCCGCTCGTTCCGAATCGTGCCCCCGCTTCAGCGCTGGCCGCATTTCCGCGCTTCCGCTCGTTCCGAATCGTGCTCCCGCTGCAGCGCTGGCGTCATTTCCCGTGCCATGCCACGGCATGCAATACAATGCAATGCGAGGTTGCGTTCCGCTGCGCGATGCCATGCCTTCAGCTGCAGCTGTCATATGCAGTGCTTAAGTGCCACGTCATGCTATGCAATGTTATTTTCGGGGCCGCTGTGCAATTCCATGCTTTGCGTTGCAAAGCTTTGTGATGCAATTCTTCACTACGCCATGCCACGCCATGCTGTGACATACTACGCTCTGCGGTGCTCTTCTACGCCATGCCAGGCCGTGCTCTACCCTGCATCGCGCACCCTTTCGGGATCATTGCCTTGCTCGACATCCGACTGTGCTAGTAGAGAGGGGATCTACGCCATGGTAAGGGATGGGAGGGAGGGGTAGGATGTCAGATATGACGCGAGCGCACCTAGCTTGTCCTCCTCCCCCTCCTCCTCCTCCTCCTCCCCCTCCTCCCCCTCCTCCCCCTCCTCCTCCTCCTCCTCCTCCTCCTCCTCCTCCTCCTCCTCCTCCTCCTCCTCCTCGTCTGCCCGAGGGCGCCGCGGGGCGGTACCGCGTGCGCGTTGCGAGCCTGGGCGACAGCCGGGTGCTGCACGGGCGCGCGGGCGGCGAGATGGTCGCGGGCGCGGGCACAGACGGGGCCCTGACAAGGTCAGGGGGCTGCCTTAGTCCTCCTCCTCTTCCTCCTCTTCCTCCTCCTCCTCCTGCTCCTCCTGCTCCTCCTGCGCTTCCTCCTCCTGCGCTTCCTCCTCCTCCTCCTCCTCCTCCTCCTCCTCCTCCTCCTCCTCCTCCTCCTCCTCCTCCTCCTCCAGCAGTGGCGAAGCGTCCTGGCTCGCCTATACGCCTACCATTAAGTGTGGCGTGTCTCTGCACAGAAGGAATATTCAAAGCCCCAAAATAGTCGGGGGACGATTTGTTTAGTATGTTTGGGTTATTTTTGGATATGTTTGACTATTTCTGATTTTTCGTCCAAAATCCGCCCGCAGGAGGACATGCCCGACCTAAATCAAGCAGTGGCGAAGCGTCCAGGCTCGCCTCTAGTCCTATAGTAGCACCCCGCAGATACGGATAAGAGTGAGGGACCGGTGAGGATGTCGGCAGTTTGCGAGTCTCTGGAGAAGCCCGCCGCATGCGCCAAAGTTCCACAAAGAGCCCGCCGCAGGCGCCGATTTTTTTCGTTCAACTAATGTGGGTCGGTCGCAAATGGGTCGCAAATGGGTCGCGGGTGGGTCGCTGTTGGGTCGCAAGTGGGTCGCAAGTGGGTCGCGGGTGGGTCGCTTATAGGCCGACCAAAGAATGTTCTAAGAACCTTGTTGTGGTTTGTACGAAATGTCCGTAGAACATGTCTGCCTGAGACTGTGTTATTTCAACACATCGGGCTCATGTTCTAAGAGCATGGTTTTTGCCCTCAGAACATCTTCGGGTTCTAGGCGCATGTCATGGTAAGCCTGTAGGGCTGCCGGGACGGCCGGCCCCTGCTCAACTCGAGGGGGGATGGGCCCAGAGGGGCTCCGGCCTTCGTCGAAGCAGAACCACAACGTCACAGGCACAAACCTTGGGCGCTCCCGGCGGACTTCTTGGATCTGCGCCGGACCCCCCCCCTTTGGCGCGCGTCTTCTGCTTCGGGGCGTCTTCGCCGCTCCTCGGCGGCCTCCCCCGCCTCCGGCGGCCGCGTCTCGCCGAGGACGTCTCCGGAGGTGCCCGGGGCGTGCTGGGCGGCCGCTAGGGAGCCGAGCCAGGACCCGAAGGCCAGGGGGCAGCGTGACGGGTGGACGGGCCTCAAGTCGGGCGTGTCCCCCTACGGGAGGAGTCTCCAACAAAAATAGCAGAGACACAGTCTGGGACCGTTTTTCGGAGGCCTAGAGGTTGACACCAACACCAATATCGGCGATGTGCCTCCATCCAGGAAAGAAATCCCGATCTCGGTGATGGTGGTAATATTCTGGCTTCCAAGGTGGCCGACATATTACCACCAACACCGAAATATAGGATCATCTTCCCCCTCTGGAGGCAACCCCCTGTCTTGGTGCTGGTGCCTATATCCAGGCCTCCAAGTTTTCCCAGCATGTTCTGCATCGCTTTGGGCATGGTCGGAGCATTTCTGTGATCTTTCGTCCAGAAGCCGCCTGGCAGGGGGACATGCCCGACCTAATTATGGGATAGGCTCATGGGGAGCGGTGCCCCGCGCGGCGGGCGTGGGCGCCGACACCGAGACCGGCGGCCCTCTGGCCTCGGGCGGCAGGCGGGCCGCGGCACCCAGGCAGTCACACGGGCACGCGGCAGCCACCTGCGGGTGCCCTCGCGCTTGCCCTCGTGCCCTTACCCCTGCCCCTGCCCTGGCTTCGGCGTCGCCCAACACACACACACACACACACACACCTCGTGCGCGTCGCTTCCACAGAGGCGACGCGCGCGCGCTCAGACATCTGAATCGTGCGTGCTCGGTGGCGGGCGCTTCCCGGCCATACCGCTGGGGTGACGATGTTGCGATATTGCTGTAGCACATGATCTGGTCGGACGCACGCCTCCAATGAGGACACCTCGTGCTAGTACGTCCTTCCGCGTCCCATTGCTCCTCATCCTCCTCCTCGTCATCATCATCATCATCATCATCATCATCCTTCCTCCTCCTCCTGCTCCTCCTCCTCCTTCCTCCTCCTCCTTCCTCCTGCTCCTTCTCCTCCTCCTGCTCCTCCTCCCCCTGCTCCTGCTCCTGCTCCTGCTCCTCCTCCTCCTCCTCCTCCTCCTCCTCCTCCTCCTCCTCCTCCTCCTCCTCATTGTCCCAGACCTCCGATGTCTTGAGTCTCCCACTGCGGGGTTCCACTCCGTCTGAGCGGGCAACCCCTGTCCCTGAGATCCTGGCGTCTCAATCTTTTCGAGCCGGGCGTTTTCGTTTTTTCTCGGGCCCCGTGCCCTCACATATCGATACGCCGCAGAAAGATTGGGTCTAGGGTTCCAGGCGCGATTTCTCACGGCGTCTCAATTTTTTGATACGTCGGATCTCAGGGATCGCACACTCGTTGCCGAGGAACGATGTGCGAGGATCGAGGACCCAGGAGAGGGGGGGGTCGAGGACCGAGAAGCGAGCGGTCGGAAGGAAGAGAAGGTTCGAGATTCGAGGATCGAGGGTCGGGGGTCGAGGGTCGGGGGTCGAGGGCCGAGGATCGAAGGGAGGATCGACCTAAGGGGCAATGTTGAGCGGTGATAGGCTCAGGGGGCCACGTCAAGGCAGCGCTAAGGCAACGTCAAGGTAACGGTAAGGCACCATCAAGTCAACGTTAATGCAACGTTACGGGGCATCGGCCCCTGATCGCCCACTAATCGCCGACAGGGGCCCGAGATAGCCCCACCGCGCCCGGGGGCGTCCGGATTCGCTAGCACAAGCCGCGGAGCCCAGCTCAGTGTCTTCCCCCCTGCACTGCCCCCTCCCCCCCGACGCTGCCTCCCACGAGGGACCACAAGCCGGACCTCCCCGACGAGCGGGCGCGCATTGAGCGGGCGGGCGGCGTCGTGGAGGTGGTGAAGGTCGCAGAAGAGACAGCGACATGAACACACAAAAATTCTCCGAGCTCCTTTAGGGCTTCCCGGATCGGCGCTGGACCCCCCTTGGCGGCGCCTCCCAGAGGAGGGCGAGTTGAGGCAGCGGCAGCCGGCATTCGGGGGGGGACCCTCGTCGTCACGGCTTCCGAGCCTCCGGCGCCGCCCCTGGCGCGCTCCGCGCGCCAGGGAGGGGGGTCAGCGCGGGTACAGGAAGTCCGCACGGGCCTCCGAAAGTTTGTGCCCATGCCGTTCTTCTCTTCTCCGGGGAGAGGGAGGCTCGCGTGAACGGTGAGCTGGCAGTGAGCCGAGCGTTCGGGGATGCCAGGTACAAGAAGGTCGGGGTCACCTGCGAGCCAGAGATGGCGACGATCGACTGCGAGGCTCGAAGAAGAAAAAGGGCCATAGACATAAACTTTTGGTGCTCTGCATGGAGTTCTTGGATCTGCGCTGGACCCCCCTCCCTTGCGCGCGGAGCGCGCCAGGTGCTGCGCCGGAGGCGCCGCTGGGGGGGCCCAGCGCGGATCCAAGAAATCCGCCAGGGGCGCCACAAGTTTCTGTGCATGGCCTTTGCTCTTCTTCTTCTCAAGGCCTCCGACTTCCTGGTCCTCGTCTGCGACGGCATCGTCCGGGACGGGCTCGCCAACCGCGACGTGGTCGGGCTCGTCGCCGCGGTGCTGCGCGCGGGCGGCCCTGCGGCGGACGCGGGGGCGGCCGCGGCGGCCGTGTGCCGCAGGGCCTTCGCGGCGGGCTCCCGCGACAACCTCTCCTGCCTCGTCGTGCAGCTGGCCGGCGGGGCGGCCGGCTCGGCGCGGCCGCGGGAGCTGCAGCCGGGGCCCTTCGCGCAGGTGCGGCACGCGGGCTTCCGCCGGGTGTACGCCGCGACCGCGGAGCGAGCCGGCAGCTTCTGGGGGGGGGGGCGCGGAGTACATGTAAGCGGGGTGTGTCCCTCTGCAGGAGTACATTTAAGCGGGGCGCGGAGTACATTTAAGCGGAGTACATTTAAGCGGAGTCCCTCAGCAGGAGGAATCATTACTCAGAAAGAGTCCCAAAAAATAGTCAGGGGACGATGTGTCGAGCATTTGTTGGCCAACCTTGAACATGCTTGGGGGGTATTCTTTCTAGAGTTTTCTCCAAAAACTGCCTGTATGGGGGACATGCCCGACCTGAAAGTACAGTCAACCCGCAGAAGAAGGATGGGCAACTTTCCCAAGGGTACCTTTGCATCCGTGTCCCTTCGGCCCATCCTTGGCCACCTTCGCCGGCCGCACCCCGCTCGAGCAGCCTCGAGGCGGCCCTCCGAGGCCGTTGCATCAACATCGCGCATCCTTACGATACGGGCCGACTGTGTGCTGTGCATGCCCGTACGCCGATCTCGGTCAGGATAGGAGAGCTGGTCCTGGGGAGTGCCCCAGGGACCAGGGCCCATCTCCACCAGGACCACGTCGCCCACGCAGAAGCGCATTCGTCTCTTAGGCCTGCGCTGGACTGTGCAGCGTCTGCGGCGGACAGATTTTGCGAGAGCGTCGCCTCCACAACGCACGCTCCCCTTGCCCTGCGGCGAGCGAGGGCGTCAAGGGACGCCGACGGTGACACTCCGGGCGGCCACGTGGGGGCCCAAGATCGGTGCGCATGCCTCCATGGCGCCGATCCTGGGCCCAGGATGAGCCTGGCCGGGATCGGGGTGTACTCCTCGTGTCTCCAGGCATGACGCTCGCGGGCGCCGTGGAGCTGCGGTTCGACGAGGCCAGGAGGCAGCTCGACGCCGTGCTCTCTGGAGAGGGGGGCGGAGAGGACGACGACGCTGCGGCCGAGGCGCTGAGCGAGGAGCTCGCGGCCTTCGGCGGCGGGCCGGCCGGCGAGCTCGCGCCGGGCAGCGCAGAGAGGAGGCAGTGGTTCAGCACGTGGCTGGACGGCCACGCGCTGGAGGAGGGCTCGGACCCCAGCAAGATGAGCCACAGGGAGATCGTGGAGCTGCTGGAGCGGAGGCCCGAGCTGCAGGCGGAGATGGCGGCGAAGGGCAAGGTGTCCACGCTGGACTTCCGGCGCAAGAGGACGGAGAAGATCGTTCGGGTGGGCCCCCTGGGCGAGCTCCGAGCCGCAATGACGAGGAGCCCGGCGTGCATCTGGGACGACGAGTTCGCGGTGCTGTCGGGCCGGCACGGGCTCGTGGTGAAGGAGGACCTGGCCGACAAGATCTCGAAGATCAAGTTCCTGCTGCCGAACTCCAGGGACCCCAAGGCGCCGCCGAAGAAGTTCTCCGCCTGGCTGCCGACCGTCGTCCTGACTGAGGTTTCGGACCCGCCACCCGCTTCCGGGAGCAGCGGCAGCCAGGGGAGCCGGCCAGTGGAGCCCCCCACGGCGGCGGAGGAGGCACCCGGCGAGGGCGAGCGCCAGGACGCCGAGCCCCCAGCGGTGCCAGACAGCTGGAGCCTGCCCTCCGTGGGGTCGACCGTGGTGGCGCCGCCGCTCGACGACCTCAAGGCCGCGGTGGAGATCACGCCGGGCCTTGGCTGGTTCGAGAAGCTCAAGTCGGTGTGCGGCAAGAAGGGCGTGGTGGCCCAGCACGACCTGAAGGAACGGGTCGGGCGGGCGAGCAAAGGGGGTGCAGTGGAGACCCACGCCAAGAAACACCCCGCCCGCCTCCAGGGTGCCCTGGGTTTCTTGGGCTTCGATGGCTCTGCGATGGAGAGCGCGACGTTCCCACACCAGAGATCAGTGGACGCCCTGGGGTCTCAGGGCTGGGTTTCCTGAGGAAGGTTTCTTGTGGACTGACCGCCACTGTAGGGTTAGGTCGGGCATGTCCTCCTACAGGCAGATTTTGGACGACAAATCCACAATAGCCCACAAATACCCCCAAAACAGTCAAAAATAGTCAAACATCGTCCCCAAACTATGTTTTGACTATTTCTGAATATTCCTCCTGTAGAGGGACAGGCCCGACTTCACTGTTGGAGAAAGGGGGGGGAAGCATCTGCGGCATGCAGCTGGTCTCGGAACCCCGCCGCCGGGCGCTTATCTCGACACACGGGGGGTTGCCTCCGGCGTCGAGGGGCGCCAGGGAAACCAGCCGCCCCCCTTTCCTGTTGCCTGTCCACGGCGCGACGACGACGCGACGACGACGACGACGACGACAAACAGGACGACGACGACGATGACATGCAGGACGACGAGCGCGACGACGACGACGCGACGACGGCGACGACGACGACGACGACGAAGACGACGACGACGACGACGACGACGGCAGCGGCGACGACGACGACGGCGGCGGCGGCGGCGGCGACGACGACGACGACGCGCCCCTCTCGTCCAGCCAGAGAGGACGGGGTGAGCCAGGTGAAGTTTCCTCCTCCCGTCTCGCTGATGGTGTGGCTGCCCAGCGTCGCTCTCAGCTCGAGGAAGGAACAAGCGACATACAGGCCTCGGAGCAAATTAGCGAACACTCGTGATGCCACATTCATCTGTCAACGGCTCCCCCTCCCCCCAATGTTCAAAGTTGGCGGCGGGTCTGATGAGATGCACTTCGACCGCAGTCTCCCCCGCGCGTGCCAACATTGAGGTTGAGGGGGAGGGGGAGCGTTCAGTAATTATTTCCCTCTACCGTATGAGCATAAACCTTCGGAGGCCGAGCATTTTCTTTGGGTGGAGGGCGAAGGGTGAAATCTGGAGTGCCTTTCGAATGATTTTCGAGGCTTGAATCTGCAAAGGGTGAATCACAAGACGGATCGGTTTTCGAGGTGCAAAAGCCCATATGGATTTCACCCAGAGCCCTCCACCCTAATAGAATGCTCAGGGAGGCCCGGCTTCAGCGCCGATCCAGGGAATCTCGGCCACGCGCAGAGCGGGGAGGGTCAAGTCGGGCATGTCCTTCTACAGGAGGAATAGTCAAGAATAGTACATAAAAAGTCAGGGGACGATTTTTCGTGCTCTTTGGACGATGTTTGATTATTTGTTTGATTTTCCGCCTGTGCGAGGACATGCCCGACCTGCCCGTAAGGGGAGGGGGAAGGCTCCAGAGAAGCACCCATGCTTCTCAAAAAACGCAGGCCTTGTTCGTAGATGTAGGCCGGCGCCTTCTAAGAAACAGCCTCATTCTAAGAAGTTCTCCCCCCTCACCCCCTGCCCTGAGGTCCGACGCATAGCGACAAGCATTACAACACTGTAAAAAATCATCACGCCTGGAGCCCTGGACACCATCTTCCTTCGGGGCTCAAGAGACGGGGGTCAACACAAACGGGGGTCAGCCAGAGCGCTGGATCTTGCAGGATATTGCAGGGCCAGGGGCCGCATTGACCCGGGTCTGGTTGCAGGATCTTGCAGGATCTCGCAGGATCCTTCGCGTTTCAGCCCACGGCGTAGACGTTCCGCCGCAATCCGCCTCCCCCGCCGAGCTTGATAGCCAAGATCATGTGTTTGAATCGTACAATAATGGTAACAGTTTGGGCACGTTCAAGAAAAGACATGGGAGCACACAGGCGCTGGTGGTGTTTGCACAGGAAGTGGGCAGAACTGAAGATGCCCTGGCTGCGAGGACCGCCACGGAAAAGAGTCTGAGGTGGAACATCTTGCGCGCTCCGTCGATTCAGTGTGTAGGAGGGCAGACATCAGCTGGAGTTGCCATCCTGGCGAGGACTTCGGAGGGCCTCAGGTGGCCGTCGAGGTTGCCACGTGGGATACTTGTCCCTCACAGGTTACCTTTCGCTACGATAAACATACCCGGATGGCCCGAGCTGCTCGTAGGTTGCGCGTACATGTAATTACCCCAGCGAGGGCCTGACCAAGCGGAACTTCAACATTTTAAGGCACGCAGGGTCGACCCTGGAGGGGGCCCATTTGGCGGCGTTCGCGGCTGATTGGAACTTTCCGGCGTGTGTTGCAGAGGCGTCGGGCACGCCTCGGGAAGCTTCAATGATGATTATGCAACCCAGTATCGAAACCTGCGCTACCCCGAAAGCGAACACCAAGGTCGACTATTGTATGGCATCGGCGGCCTTCTGCAAGCTTGTCGAGGCCACCGAGGTGGACGGCATGTGGCCAAAGCGGCCCCATCGACTTGTTCAACTCCGTTTAAGGCTTGGGGCTTTGAAATTGCAGCAGTTTGTTTATCAAACGCATCAGAAGTTACCAGTTGAGCTTCCCAGTGGCCCCACCCCCCCGCTGATTGATTGGTCCGTGGCCCGAGCGGTCGCGGAGGAGGCGAACCGCAGAACCGACCACGAGGACGTTGCCCTCGCCTGGGGGGTGTTGGACAGAGCTCGGAAGTTTTTGTTTCTGACACCATGGAGTTAGTTGGAAAGTAGAACTGGCACGCCCATCAAGCGCAAGGGGCTGAAGGGTAGGCAGTTACAAGCTATGCGGGTTCCCGTCCGGAGCCCCCCGAGGTGCAAAATCGAAGACGATATTCGCATTTGGAAGGGATGGGTTTGGCTGCAGCAGGGGATGACGGACCTCCGAAACACCAGTCAACGGTTGCTCGTGAAGCGGGATTAGTTTGTTGACCGCGCTGAAATTCAGGCGGCGGTCAACCTCGTTCAGATTATTAGCCAGCCTTTTGAAGCCGAAGGTTTGTCCCCGAGATTGGGCCTCACCGCCCGCAGAGCGCGAGAGATCGCGGCGACCTGGCCGCGGGATTGCGTCGCCCTCGCCGGGTGGATTGACCGCTGCTCGGAGACCTTAGAAGAGTGGGCCGAAGATTTTCAACGGGCCCGTGACGGGCTGAACCAGAAAGCCAAAACGAGCTGGGACCAGCGGCAGACGGAGGCGCTGTGGGGGTCGGCCCGCAAGATGCACCGCCCCCCGAGGTTGAAAGTCAAGTGGCAGCCGGCGGCGATGGAAACCAGTCCTGGGACTTTCTCGTCGGACCCTCGAAAGCTGCTGCCCCAAGAAGCTGACGCTTTAAGGGGGGGCGCGCCACCGCCGCGCCCCCGCCTGCCGACACGCCTGATAGACAGCGCTTTGAACGAGCAACGGCGGCTGAGTTGCGATCAGCCTCCAAGATGTTCTCGGCGCGCACGGCTCAGTCCCTTGATGGGGTGCACGTGCGCCAGTTCGCGCGCGCGTCGGATGCTGATTTTGACGCCCCCGCGCGCCCTTTTTTCAACGCGGTGAGAAGTTGGGGCTCTCGCCCAGGCCTCATGCTAGATATTGTTTCCGCTCCGCGGGAAATCCGGGGGAGGCTCGCGTCCGATATCATTGCGTTCCTCGCCAGCCAGATCTTGGGAACGATCAGGAAGACACCGTCTGACGACGTTCAGCGACCGCCGCCCCCGACGACACTGGGCCTTCGGAGCGGAGAAGTCGGCGGAAGGTAGCGCGTGGAACCAGGCGGTTAAAGCTGAGGCCCGCGTGGCCGAGGGGGGGCCACCGCGAAGTTCTCCTGGGACGGGTCGAAGTACTATGAGTGCTTCGACATCAGGACTCGTTGGGATTGGGGCCGCCGAGCTGGGCTCGACCCCGCCATCTCGATGGTCGCCATCAACTTCTGGAGGGGCCCCAGGACCTCGCGTCTTGGCACGGACCATGCGCTGGCGGCGTAGCACGCCGAGAGCGGGCTGCCAATATGGCCCATGTTCAACGAGATTTCTTCGCGCGCGTACACGCTCGAGCCTTTCGACGGCCTCGTGCAGCAGAACCCTAGCATCGATCTCGCGTCGCACGTTGGCGACGACACAGCCTCCGCGCACGGCGCGGAGGCCGAGGTCATCCAGGCCCTTGAGAGAGCGGCGCAGGTATTGCACCGAATTTTCACCCAGGGGCCCGAGGCGAATCTGGCCCACGATATCTTGATGAGGTTCGGATCATCGCCCGCGGTTGCTCGTCGCCTTGGGGGTGAGCTTGGGAAACGGGTGGGGCAAGTCGGAACCCGCCAAGTTTCCCCCGGCTGCGATTTGGCCCCTGGGGGCGAGCGCAGCAAGAGAGGCCACCTCAGAAAGAGACGGGGTAGGTTCCAGGATATGATCCGCAGGCGCCGCGTTCTCTGCAGGTATCGCAGGGCCCGCTCTAGGGAAAAGTTCAGGATTGGAAAGATCAACACGGCGGGGGCCAAGCCTGGTCTGAGCTTCGGCGACGCGATAGTCGGCGTGAGCGACGCCGAACTTATGCGAGCGCGAAGCGTGATGTTGTCCTCCCAGGCCCCCAGGCACGCTGGCGTGTCTTTGCGAGCCAAGACGGCGCTTCTAGGAGGTCCCATGGCGGCCCTTGCGCTGGCGCGGTCGCACGCGGCGCGGGCCGGCACGGCGCGGCCTGCGCACGCGTTTTTCCCGATGCAGGAGTCGCGCAGCATGCGGAGGACCACCCTGCCAACAGTCCACACGTGGGCTAGGAGCAAAGGTCCGATCAGCCGGGCGCACCTCCCCCTTTCAGCACATTGGGTTGGAAGCCTACTCGCCGCGCGGTTGGCGCGGTGAGAATAGCGCGGAGATTTCCCTGCTCTACACCACCTTCTCCATGGTCGGACATTGGTTGGGCCTCGGCGCCCATCGGCATCATGAGAGGGCTTTGGGTAAAAAGCGCGGTTGGACCCCCGGCGCCCGCGCGCGCGCGGAACCCATGCGGAGGATCACGAAACCATGGGCCGAAGGAATTGGACTTAACGCCGAGGGCAAGCATGTAGTGATGGCGCGAGTTTGCGAGGGCCTCTGGACGGAAGATAGGGCACAAGAGTCAGGGTATATCACGCCAGGCCTCTGCCCGCTCTGCCGGGCGCCCGACTCGGTAGGGCGCAGGCTCTACGGCTGCCAGCGCGAAGAGGTCGCCGCGTCACGGCAGGCGGCGGACGCGCCCGCGAACTTTCTCGCGCGTGCCCAGGACGGGGGCGCGCAGTTTTTCGAGGCGCTCACGTTTCGGCATCCAGCGGCCGAATGGCCCGTGCTGTCGGATGAGCATGAGCCTGACTTGTACGATATGAGTGGTCAGAAGATTCCGCGGGGGCAATTCGACGGGTCGACATTGTGCCAAGCAGGAGACGGATCATGCATGACACAACATTCGCGAGTTGTCGAGATCAGCGCATTCGTGAACCTTCTTCGATTCGGAAGGGGTGCAGAGATACATGGCTAGAGGCGTTGCATGGCCGAGCCTGCCCCAGACTAGTCAAGCAGCCGAACAATTGCAACTGGCGTCGCGTCCGATGTATGTCCCTAACCATGGACCAACTCTGCGCGGCGATTGTATGACTGCGGCGAAGCTGCCTAACATGGAACCGTCAAGTCAGATGTCAGCTAAACAACGGCATGGGGGGTTGAAAAGAGGGGCCCTATTCCACATGCGGGATTACGGGTGCCCCAGCTGTTCGCACCCCTGCCCATAGGAAACTAAAAGATATCGAGCAGCTGCCCCCGCCTGAGAGGTGGATCGGCCAGGCCATCCGGCGTGCGGATCGAGAGGCCAAGAGAGCTCTCGACCTGCATCCTCGAGCTTCGACCGCCGAGTGGCAGCAGCATGACAGTTCGATCGAGAGCCTCGAAATGGCGGCGCGCCTCGCGGCGAACGTTTTGCCGCGCGTTCCGAGGGCGCACCACCAGCGCCAACCGAGGCGCGAGAGCCCGCGTAAGGTGATCGAGCAAGCCACCAGCTGGCACAACTGGGAGAGCTGGCCGCGGGGCCACAGGTGTGCCAAATGTTCAAGTTTTCTACGTGGGGGGGGGGCTCCAGACTCGGCCAGAGGTAGGACGCCAGGGTCTCTCCCGAAATTTGACCTAGCTCTTGGCAGATGCCCGCGACAATGGACATAAGCTAGCGAGCACGCAGGTTAGTGATGAAAAGTTGCCGTTAGCATTGTGCATGACCTGCGGGGGCTACTCACGAGAGAAGGTGCGCATATGGCAACGAAACGTGACCCCAAAGAGCACAGTGGACGGGGCCAATGCTTTGAGTGGGTTGAAACGTTGCCCCCGCCCCCAACGCAATGTAGCCGCGTCCTGTGCCGCGCCAGAGAAGCCAACTTCAGGCCTAGCAGTTTGCTCCTTTGCTGCCGCCCCGTGGGTGCGCCCTATCTCGTCGAGCGCGGCGCCTCTCGAACGACTGGCTGCCATCCGTGCCCGCGCTGCCGCGCGTGAGTCTGGAGGGCGGGCGGCGTCGGGGGCGGGGGGCGGAGATGAGTTTGCCTCTGTGGAAGAAGTGGCAGGCGTGAGGCTCGCGGGCCCTCCGAGTGCTGCGGGCCACCTGTTCGGGGGCTGCTGTCGGCGCGAGGAGCGGGGATTTTGCCGCTGCCTCGGGCAGCGCGGGCGGGGTCCGCTGCCGGGGGGTGGTCGGGGAGGAGCTCGGCGAGCGCCCTAAGGCCGCCCCCCAGGCCATGCGCATCCTCGCTTGGCGGGGGAAGGAGGGCACCCCCCCCGCTCATCCCTCACAGGAAGGCCCGCGGCGCACCTTCGTGCTAGGCCAGGGCTGGCTGCGGCGAGCCAGCCCTCAACCCGCACCTCTCAGGCACTGCGCGGCAGGGCGGCGGCGGCGTGCCGTCCTGATCCTGCGCCAGTGGAGCCAGCGATGCATGATGTTTTTGATGCGGCTGAGGAGACCGCCCTTGTCTTCTTTGGAGAGCGAGCCGACAGTGAGCTGGTCAGACGTACCGTGCCCGCTGCGAACTCCTCCGATGTTTTGCTGAGCGTGTCGTCGGCCCTCCGAGATGAGGAGAACGATGCGCGGTTGGTCCCGGTACTTCGCCATGACGAGGGTTCGGGATCGGACTAACGCTGTGGGGTGAGCTGGTAGGCCACGGGTTTCCTCGTTCTCGAGGAGGCGACCCTGCGGCCTCGCATCTCTACTCCGCGATGGCGTTTGTTTTTCGGGCCACTGGCGCGGCCGGGGCCTGGAGCCTCCGAATTGGTTCGGCCAAGAGTGGCCAACAAAAATACTTCGCACTGACCCGGGCTTGGGCGCAGGATCTTGAAGGATTCTGCAAGGCCTGACTGACCCGGGCCTGGATCTACCCGGGTCAGAAGATCCCCGATTCCTGCGTCACTCTCGAGCCCGGCCGATCTGCGAGGGCCCCAGGGGGGCCCGAGAAGACGAGCGAGAGCGCCCGGTTCGAAAACAGTGGGACGCCAGGATCTCAGGGTGCCCCCTCCTGCGCGCCGCGAAGAGAGAGGGAGGGAGGGAGGGAGGGAGGGGCGGGGGAGGGAGGGAGCGAGGGAGGGAGGGAGGGAAGGAGGGAGGAGGAGGAGGAGGAGGACGGAGGAGGAGGAGGAGGAGAAGGAGGAGGCACCGTCTATATTTAGGTCGGGCATGTCCCCCTGGAGGCGGATTTGGGGCGAACAAAAAAATAATCGACAAACATCGGCCCCAGACTATTCTTTGATGATTTTTGAATACACCTCCTGCAGAGGGACATGCCCGACTTGAGTCCACATGCCTCTGCCGCTTCTTCCTGCCTCGGACAGCAGCCTCGAGGGCCCGGGCGCGCCCGAGCCTGGCGCAGGCCCCCCCGCCACCGCGCCCGCAGCCTTTCGGGCGGCGCCCGCGGCGCCCGCGGCTCGGTCGGCGCCCTCCCCGAAGCGCCGGAGGACCGGCCCAGGGCGCTGATCGGCGCGCGCGCGGCGACGGCAGCGCGCCATGGCAAAAGCTGCGCCCTTGCTCGCGTCGGGGATGTCGAAAGTTCCAGGATCGAGGATCGAAGTCTGTCTCTGTTGTTGGGGGGTCTCCATGGGGAGCTCCTCGTCGCCACGGCTGCATCGGCATTGAGAGCCTGGCCGGAGCGCACGCCAGGAGAGGTCCGGGGATCGTTGTTTGATCCCCGGATCCTGACGTGCTCACGTCGTGAAACAATCACGACGTAAGGTTTTTGGCCTTCTTCGGCCTCCGGGGGCCCTCGCTGGGCGCTGGGACCGTCAAACAACGGCTCGGGATAACGAACTGGCCCTGGGGAAGGGGTAGGAGCTTCTGGAGACCCCGCAACGTCCAATGCCCTGGCACTCGCTGCGCGGCAGCCTTTCGGGCAGGACGGGGACCGGGACAAATCGTCCCGGAGCGTCCCCGGAACGCTCTCAGAGCTTCCGGAGCGCTTTTGGACGGGCCGCGGCGCCCGACGCATCCTCCAGAGCCGCCTCTCTCAGAGACACCCGATCTGTCCCAGTCCCACCTGCTTCGTCTCAGTGTCCCTCCCAAGCTTCCACCTCCTTCTCCTCCTCCTCCTCCTTCTCCTCCTCCTCCTCCCTTCCCTCCCAAGCCTCCACCTCCTCCTCCTCCTCCTCCTCCTCCTCCTCCTCCTCCTCCTCCTCCCTTCCCTCCCAAGCCTCCCTTCCCTCGCCTGGCCTCGTCTGAGCCTGGCGGACTTGGCCCCGGCCCTGGCTTCGTCTCAGCCCTTGGGGCGTCGCGTAGTGGGGGGGCGATGAAGGAGGGAGCAGCGAGGGCTGCAGACGAGGGGCCCTTGAGGGCCCTTGCAAAGGGGCCACTGAGGGCCCCAAAGGGGGCCTTTCGGGCCCGAGCATTGCTCCTTTCTTCCCCCCCCGTGGATTGCCCCCCATTGCAGCCGGACCGAGGTACAAGATCGAGGTCGGTTCGGGGAGGGTGCCCCAGTGTGCTTCGTGTTTGTTGGATGCTATTGTGCATCCTGGGGGGGTACCCTTGGATGCTCTGTGCGTTTTGGCCGGCGGAGGGTCTCATGGTCTTGAAGGATACTCTTCTGTCCTAGGTCCGACTGTATCGGCCCATCTTTGGCCATTTTTTGTCTGGCCGCGCCCCGCTTGAAAGGTGCCGACTTGGCCTGCCAAGGCCCTCTCGTCCTCATATTGCCTCCTTATACGCGCTGACTGTGAGCGACGCCCACGCCCTGGTCTCGACTATACGTAAGAGTGACCCTTCGCCAGAGTGACCTCTGCTGCGGACCCATTGGGATCCCCCGATCGCCGAACGCGATGCGCTAGTAGCGTCTTGCGTGCCTGCGCTTGGCCCCCCCGCGGCCCCCCTGAAGCCGCGCACCAAAGGTCACCCTCACAGTGGAGAGCCATGCCAAGAAACGCCCTGCTGGCCGCCAGGGTGCCCTGGGCTTCTAGCATGTCGATGGCTTTGCGATGGAGAGCGTGCCGCTCCCGTCCCGAAAGCCAGTGGACGTCCTGGGGTCTCGGGGTTGGGCCTCTTGTGGAAGGTTTCTTGCGGACGGGCCTCCGCTGTACCCAGGGCCACTCTTGCGCGTAGCCGATGGTCACCCACCGTGCCCGTGCCCCCACTCCCAGGGCGGCAGCTGCGCGCAAAAGGCCGCGAGGCAGGGCGTGCCCCTCTGCGCCTGCGCCTGTGCCGCTCCCCCAGGGGGTGGCTGGCCTCGCTTCGCCCCCCCCGTCCTCCTCCTCCTCCTCCTCCTCCTCCTCCTCCTCCTCCTCCTCTTCCTCCTCCTCCTCCTCCTCCTCCTCCTCCTCCTCCTCCTCCTCCTCCTCCTCCTACCTCCTCCCCTCCTCCTCTCTCCTCCTCCCTCGTCCTCCTCCTCCTCCTCCTCCTCCGCCTCTTCCTCTTACTTATTCTTCATCTCCTCCTCCCCTCCTTCTCCTCCTCCTCCCCTCCTCCTCCTCCTCCTCCTCCTCCTCCTCCTCCTCCTCCTCCTCCGCCTCCGCCTCCGCCTCTTCCACTTCTTCCTCCTCCTCCTCCTCCTCTCCTCCTCCTCCTGCTCCTCCTCCTGCTCCTCCTCCTCTCTGGGGCAACCTGGGGGGGGATGGGCACTTTCGTCGGGCGAGTTCGTCGGGCGAGGGGCCTCGTAGGCTTTGAGCTGCGAGGTGTTCGGGTGCTTCTGGCTCTTGGCGGGTCCGCTGGCCGCTGGCCTCAAGGTGCTCTCCAGCAGCGGCGCCTCGCCGCGGGCGTTCCCTGGGCTTTGTCCGAGGTCGGCAGCGAGCGAGGGGGGAAGCGAGGAGGAGAAGGCCTTCTCTGAAGGCTCGCAAGCCGCCCCGGCCTTCTCCGAAGACCAAACAAACTTCTCAGAAGGCGCGAGGGCTTCTGAGAATCCCGCCGCCTTATGAGGACTAAGGCCTTCTCCTTCTAATTTCCCCCCCTCGCTAGCCGCCGAATAGGGGAGGAGGCATCGATCCCCAATCACCCATTGATCGCCGATACGGGCCCGATAGCCCCAAGCTGCCCAGGAAGGCGCGGATTCACGATCACAGGTCTATCGCCGATCTATCGGCGATGCTTCGCCGATCCCAGGTCCATGCATGCCCCCCTGTGCCAGTCCCCCCCCGTCGTTGCCCCTCACGACTACACGTAGGAGTGACCCTTCGCCGCGCACGCGCGACGGGGCCGTGTTCACAACGCTGGCCCGGCGGTTGCCCCAAGATTCGGAGGAGGAACAGGTAATGCTACCACCACCCTTGCCTCGTTTTCCCCCTCTTGGGCCTCCTGGGAGGCCCTCGTCGCCACCGCTGCAATCCTGGTCAGAGCGCACCCCAAGAGAGGTCCGGGGAGTAGCGGTATCGGTACATCTTGGCTTCCCCAACAATGTTCAAGATCGCGGCAGGACGCTGACCCAGGCTTCTCGGGCTGCTGTTTTGGCGGCCGTCTTCGTGACTGGCTCGTCCTTCAGGGCGCTGCGAGCCAGGCGTTGGCGGGGTAGCCCTCCTTCTCCTTCCTCCTTCTCCCCTGATTTCTCCTCTCTGTTTTTCCCCCCCTCCGCCCCCCCTCCTCCTCCACCTCCTCCTCCTCATCCTCCTCCTCCTCCTCCTCCTCCTTCTCCTCTAACCCCTCCTCCTCCTCCTCCGCCTCCTCCTCCTCCTCCTCCCTCCCTCCTCCTCCTCCTCCTCCTCCTCTTCCGCCTCCTCCTCCTCCGCCTCCTCCTCCTCGTCCTCCTCTTTCTCCTTCTCCTCCTCCTTTTCCTCCTCATCTTCCTTCTCATCTTCTCTTCCTTTTCCTCCTCCGCCTCCTCCTCCTCGTCCTCCTCCTCTTCCGCCTCCCCCATTCCCCCTCATCAATGATTCGAAGCCTGCTTCTCGCCGAGCGGTGGCCTGGGCGATCGAGCGGCATTGACTCCGACGGTGGCGACGTTGAGATGACCGTTGCCATGATGTTAACTATGGCCATGATGACGGTGATGCCATTGATGATTATTGTGGTGGTTGTGATGGTGAGGGTGATCGTGATAATGATCATGATTGTGATAATGGCCATGGTGATCTCGCTGTTCATGCTGGCGACGACGATGTCGACCGCGAATATGGCTGTGGTGATGTTGGTGATGACGACGACGATGACGATGATGTTGATGCTGCTGATGATGATGCTGATGATGCTGATGATGCTGATGACGATAATGATGATACTACTGATGATATCGAGGATGATGATAAGGTTGATGATAAGGTTGATGATGATGATGGTTATGATGGTGATGATGATGATGATGATGATGATGATGGTGATGATGATGATGATAACGATGACGATGATAATGATGATGATGATGCTGGTGATGATGTTGTTGATGGTGAATATGATGCTGATGCTGATGATCGTGATGCTGATGATGATGACGGCGATGATGATGCTGACG